TTAAATACATCTGTAAAATTCGTTCTCAACCTTTTTAACATGAAAAGACCAAATCTTTATACATATAATACAAAAGAGTTATCTTTTATACATAATCTAGTCGATTAGGATCTACAAAACATGTTTAAATCTCTTTAATAACGTTTTGGAAACTGGGAGGGGGATTAGCAGAGATGATACTCGCCTACTGTTGTTGAAAAACGTTTTGGAAGCAAGGTTGAAAGAGATCTCCACTCAAAAAGCCAAAAACCAACAAGAATCTCGCACGAAAGCCTCTAATCTTCTTCAAGAAATCAAACTAGGGTTTGGGGGTTTTGGTGGCTGTTAGGGTTCTTAGGAAAACTGAGAAAAAAGTGAAAAACTCATATATATATATCAGGGAAAATGAATATTAGTTTAGAAATCTGAAACCAACTCAAAATAGGTTTAAAAAATAGTCTGTAGGTTTCGCGGTCGACCGTGGTGGTCGACCGGGCTGTAGTCGACCGCGACGGTCGACCGGACTGCGATTTTTTCAGTTTCTATGTATTTGGCCATTGTGCATGTTTCGACTCATTCCTCTCTTATGTATGAACTCATTCATACTCAAAACACATGGCATTATATTCATATACCATTAAATAATCTTTATCATACTAAAAATCCATATATCATAATTAATCTCATATTAATGTATCTTTTAAAAATTATCGGGGTTTTACATGGACATACTTACAATATACATGAGTTTTCACAAATGGGAAGCTCAATTTGAGAAATTCTATTTCTAACATGTTCAATTTCATGTTTATAAATGTTTACCAAAGTTTTATCAATTTTTGAATTAATTTGTTATGTTTATTTGAATTTACAAAATCAAGTTTTAAATAAGCTCATGTTCGTGCATGTTTTTGCAAAACAGATGCGTTTTCACAATTGGGAAATACGATTTGAAAATTTTCTTCTTTTACATGTTTATCATCATATATATATATATATATATATATATATATATATATATATATATATATATTTACAAAATCAAGTTTTAAATAAGCTCATGTTCGTGCATGTTTTTGCAAAACAGATGCGTTTTCACAATTGGGAAATACGATTTGAAAATTTTCTTCTTTTACATGTTTATCATCATATATATATATATATATATATATATATATATATATATATATATATATATTTCTAACATGTTCAATTTCATGTTTATAAATGTTTACCAAAGTTTTATCAATTTTTGAATTAATTTGTTATGTTTATTTGAATTTACAAAATCAAGTTTTAAATA